TGACCAGTATTTCAGGGAACGGTCAGGGTAGCAGGTAAATGGAACACTGTCAGCATATGAGGAAGCAGGGCGTAGGATTTTGGGTTTCACAGATTCTTCAGCAAACCTGCCACCTTCTGCATTTCTGCAGCTGGTGAAGAGCTGGTTGACGGTGTTGGTGAGTGTGCTTTAGCATAATGGTACTCATAGGTGAGCTCTGCCCACCCTTGATTGATGCCCTGAGGGGACTGCCTGTGAGAGACAGAAGGCAAAAAGGAGGTACACTGAGCCGTTAGCACAGGGAATGGGATGTGGGAGAAATAGCTTTGGTTTCTTTCCCTGATGAAGTTTCGGTGGTTTCTGCCCATAGTGTCAGTGTAACCTGGAGCAGTAAACTTACGTGCGCTGTGGAGATGGGCAGGCTGTAGGGCGAAGCTGGGTGCTGCTTGCTGCACCTGCTGGGAGAAACCTTCTCTCCCTCTGCTGTCAGTGGAGACAAACACAACCCCATCAAAAGAAGTTGGGAGCCCTGTTGTGTAACTGTTTTCCTATTTCTCATTTCAGGCAAGAAAGTGATGGTGTTAAATGGTGGTTACAGGGGAAATGAAGGCATCTTGGAATCTATCAACGAAAAGAGGTTTTCAGCAACAATAATCATTGACTCTGTAAGTATCATACACTGCAAGATCTCATTTGTGTAGAGCGCTTTTCATCTGTGCATTGGAGAGTTTTCACAAAGAAAAATGTCATCATTAATCCTGTCTTACCACTGGGACTTACGGTGTGCAAAATGCTGTGATAACCCCTGCCTGTTCCCAGCTGGTAGGAGAACAGCCACATATTCCCCACTGCAGACTAATGCTCTGCTGTTTGCCTTTAAAAAGATGCCAGGATGCTGAATTTGGCAAGTTCTGAACTTTAGACTTGAAAAATTTTTGTATGTTTATTTTGAACGTGGCTGTTGTGCAATTTTGTGGGAAGGTAAAAAATGTGAAATATGGAAGGAGGTGAATTTTCTCTTGGCTTTTCCAGATGAACATGAGACTTTAAGTGGTTATTTTTTGTCTTGTTCATAGTTAACAATTATGGTTGGTTTTTTGGTTTTGGGTTTGGTTTTGTTTTTTTTTTTACATACTGCCTTCCTCTGGGCTGAAATTAGGCCATGTCAGTATGTCTGTTTGTGTGGCTACTTCTTTGTTCTCCTCTGCAAAACCAATCTTTAAAATCAGTGATACAGCAGGGAGAGAATATTGGCTCAAAGACAAATTTCTTAAACACAGCTTGCAGGAGAGAGACCCTGTTAGGATCCCGTGTAAGGAAGGGCTGCAGCAACTCAGCCTGCATTGGGTTCTGGAGAATTTGCGTGAGAAGAGACTGTAGAGACACCCTAACCACAGAAGGAGCTTTGGTTGGAGCTAAGGATCGTGATAACGTTGGTCTTGGAAAACAAGGATAGTTTTTCTTGAGTTCTGGTACTTGTAGGTGTTAAGATTTCCCCCTCCTGCATGAATTCTGAGCCTACACATTAAAAATGGGCAAAACTACTCCTAGACACCAGTGAAGTCTGTGAGAATTTTCTTATTCATTGTAGGATGACCAGGATTTTTGTATATAAGAAGTTTGTATTCAAAATGAAATCTTTTACTACTTGTAAGTTCACAGTGAATTAATTCAAAACAGCTGCTTATATTTGCCCCAAAATTGCAAGGACTAATACAAAAAGTGTCCTGAAAGTGAAAACATTGCTGGGACAATGTTGAGACCCTGTCACAGTCTTTGGTCAGGTTGAAAATACTGAAACAGAAAACATTGTGTCGCGAGCAAATCCCAAACTCGCAGTTTTTTGAATGGTTTCTGCTATGCATCCCGTGAACATTAGCCACTGTGCAGTTATACATGGCTTTTGGACAGAGCATTTAATCAGAAAAGTAGTTGTCATGCTTTTACTGTGTGCAGCACTGAGTAAAAATGCTAAAGCCTGTGATTGCCAGTGCTATTCACTTCAGTTGTACTTGAAAAATGTCTAAGTGTGGTGAGTTTTCATACAGCCCCTTTAGCTGTCTTACTTTAAGCTCCTCGTTGGGAATTTGACAAACAAACCAGTTTATATTTTTATCTTATTTCTTCTACTATGTTATCCTCCAGGGACCTTTAAAAGGACGCCGAGTTGAAGACATCCAGTACGAAGACATTTCCAAACTCGCCTGAGGTGCTAATCATGGATCAGAGAAGATTTTGATTCCCAAAAACATCTTTCTGGCATCTTGCAGACAGACACAAGACTCTACCATGTCAGGGTTTTAATTCTGTGTTTGTGTGTGTGTATGTATTTATAATGTATATAGAAGTTAACCACAAGCAAACTGGATTTATTTAAAGATCACTATGGATTTGTTACATAAAATGTTTGTGGAAATAATTTCATCTGATTCTATATCAAAGTTCTATTATAATATTTGGGTCAATTTCCTTCTGTAAAATATAACAGATAGCTGCAAGCTGGAGTATTTCATTTACTGAAGTACATTAGCAGTTCCATAAGAGAGAGAATTATTTACAAATAGCCACTTGAGGCAGGCAGCGTGTGTCGGAGCCAGTGGAGTTTAAACAACACACTTCTCAATCTGCAGCCAAAATTGAGTTCTGGCTGCAGGAAGGGAAGGGATTAAGAGAATAGCAGGAAGGTAACAGTGCTACAAGGGATTATTTTCCTGAATGTTGTAAGAATGGTCTGGTTTATTAAGTGCTGTCACCAACTTATTTCTGGTTAGCACATCAGCGATAGAATGCAAGTCATCACTCCTCCATCATCTTGCCTGTCAGGGTTCCTGATAATACCAATATGCAATTTACCTTCATATGGACTCCAAGGTGGATGTTACTTGTGGGGTTTCTAGGATGCCAGCCAAAGCGTGTGCCGATATGAATTGGTGATTGCTGTTTTGGTTTTCCAGAGCCTTTTCCTTTGTTCATGCTTCCATTGTTGCTCTGCTACATGAGTAACATTACCCATGCTAAATGATGTAATATTACTTTTTTATTTTTTTAAAATGCCACGTTTTGTACAATGTTTAATTTCTAAGGTAGTTCAGGAATAAATGTGAATCTTTCTTAGGTCAGTGTATTTCTTATCAGCCTTTTAAACGCGCGGGGCGTCTGTTGGTTTATATCCATAAAGGAGCAAAGTGCCCAGCTGGTGCACTGCCTCGTTTGTGTAAAAGAAAGATGCAGGTTGTCCCAGGCAAGATGCGAACTGTCACCTGGTGGTGTGTCTCTGGCACCTGATGGAAAGAAAACCGATAGCCCCATACCCCTCAGAGGAGGTCTCTGCTGAGGGTTGAAGAGGGCAGGATGCCGTCGTGACGTGCACATCAGTTACATTGCAGTTTAAAAGTTCAAGGTCGCTAGAGGCAAGTCAGTGTTCCTTGTCCCTTTGTGGGCCTCAAAGGGTCACTGTCTTGTTGATTTGTGGTTTCCAGGGGACCCCTGCAGGAAAACTGAAAGACTGCAGAGGCTTAGTGAAACAGCTGCTGTCTGGAGTAGCCTGAAATAACCTCACACAGGACATGAAATGGCTTTTCCGGGATCCTGGACATAAATGCAAGGCAGAGTCAAGCAGTAATACAGTATCTACAGAATGGAGAATTATGAGGAAGCGAACTGAAGACAGGAGACATGCTTGTCTGTACATTCAGGCTTTGTGCCACCTGGATTGTGTAAACAGCTCTGCCTTTTCTCGAAGAACAGGTACTGAGTGAGTAGAGGCATGCAGGAGAGTAATGAGGGTAAGTGACAAAACAGAACAGCTTCTGTATCACTGAAAATAATTGCACTTGACATTCTGGAGTCTGAAAAATGAGAGTGAATATAATAGACGTGTGAAGTTACAAATTGTGTGGAGAAGACCAGAGAATGATTATTCACTGCTTGTATTCACATACAAGCTCAGAAACAGGCAGCGGAATTACTGATTTGGGGTTTTAAAAACACAACAGGTTTTTCTTCCCACCACGGAGAGCCCAGTTAAACTGGGGAGCTCACTGCTGCAAGATGTTGGAGGCTGAAGCTGGTAAAGCAATTCAAAGAAACCGTGAATGGTTTGTAGGGAGGTTGCTTACACGGCCCAGAGTTACTTTGAAGAGACATGTAAAACACATTGATCCTTCACTCCTGACACCGTGGCTGCAAGAAAGATCTTTAGCTTTTAAGTGGAAGAACTGAAGTTCAGAATGGCAAGTGGATTACTTGAGTCCCCTTTCTAGATTAGGGCTGCTGAAAAGAGTTTGGCCAACTTTTTTTTTTTTTTTTTTTTTTTTTTCTCCCAAGGTTGCCAGAAAGCAGAGCTTTAAATCTGGCTCTAGGTACATCCACGTGCATATTTGTTTCACTACTGATCTCATTCATTGCTGAATACTGTTGCAAGGGTAAGGTATCTTCTGGGAGCAAATCCCACCGGAAGGGAAGCTTTTAGTCCTGATGGCTATTTCTGTATAGTCTGAGTATTTCCTGCTTTCCCAGATTTGTATCTGTGTGTGAACTCGTCTATGAGGTTGAAATTTAAAAAAACCCATAGGCTGGAAGTTGGTTGAGTCTTGGACTCAAGGAAGTAATTTTCTTGCAATATGGCAACATCAGTTATTTCAAGGACACTCCTCGCCACTGGTTAACCCATCCTTAAAGAGTGGAGACTCCTCGTGATACCCATTGCAGAGCCTCATGTTCCTTTTCTGTTAAACTTCCTTGACATCTAAATGCACATCCCCCTTTTTGCCCAATCCAGCAGTGTATGAACCTACATTTTCCTGGCAGTCTGAAAAAGCAAAGGCATAAGTATTAAATCTGGTCACGTGCGTTGCCCACATTGCAGGAGCCACGATGCTGTTGCGAGTCTACCATGAAATGCATATTACAAAACAGTTGAAATTTTTAATGGGGTTTAATATCCACTAAATCAGACACAGGAAGTGCAAGATACCTACTACAACCCATGTCACTGTTACAGATTTCCTTTTTTTTAACAGAAAAGGGAGTTACATTGCTTTGAAACACTGATCATCTCTAAAGCAAATGGTGGTGAAGTCACCTTCGGTCGATCGGGCTCGATAGGCTGACAGGTGCTGTTCGGAGTTGTTTGGGCATGAAGGAGCAGGTAACAATTTTTTGTAAGGAACTGGTTTTGTGTTGGAGCATTCAGGGTTTCTTCAGAAAGCTGTACAGGTGGGGGACGAGGTAATCTTTGTAGTGGCCATCTATGAAACCTTTCCCGCTGTTGTGCACAAACCAGCACTGCACATCGGTCCCAAGCACGCGGTCCGTCCTGTAGTCCTTCTGCAATCCCCTGTGAGGAAGAGGCCACCCAAAATGAAGGTCACGACATGACAAGTAGACAAGAAGACATCAATAATCCTGCTCATTCATGCCGCTGCTCTGCCAAAGTGGCGAGACGTGTGTCTTCCACCGGCAGAAAGTGGAAACAACCAGAAAATGCAATGAATGTTACAGCTCTATGATCTCGTACGCCCTTTTGTGGGGGTCCCAGGCACTTTTACGCTGCCTGTCTGAGGTCAGATGCTGGGCAGCTATAAGGACAGGACAGTTTATGCACAAATATGAAAGAACCCAACTTGTACTAAGTATTTTGCCACCTTGTTAGCAGAGGGAAAGCAGGACTTTTTTCTTCAAGATCCTGGAGAGTTACTAAGCCTGCAGTCCCTGATGTCATTAAAAAGAAGTCAGATTCAGAAAGAGAGCAATAAAGCACATTATTCCTACCTGGTAACAGTGAGCTTGTTGCCTTTCACTTCCATGGTGGCTTGTGGTTTCTCTGGAGCTTGCCCAGGCCTTTGGTGGTGAATATGCACTTCTGGTTCAGACACAAACTGACCTGATCAAAGAGAGGTTTAAAGCTCTTTGTGTGTCCTAGTTTTTGAGGCGCTCATGTAAGCTGCTGCTGGGCACTTTTGGAAAATCAAACTAGCTGCAGCAGCCAAACCACTCCTGCATGGATCACAGGGCACCGTGTCTCCAGCGCTATCGGATCGCCCACACTGGGAGGGTAAAAAGCTCTGCTCTTGAGCCTGCAATCTTTTTGTAGGAAAGCAGACTGGAGCTGTGAAGAGTTTTTGGGAAAAAAACTTCTGCTGCTCAGGCTTCCCACATCTTAAAAGGACCCTTGGGTGGGTCCAGGGCTCAGAGAGCTGATTTTCCCTATGAACTGAGCCCTCACTTTTGTTTTATACCGTTGCCAGAAAAGGGCTGTCATTCAGGGGAGACTGGAATTCCAAATGTTTGCACGGAAATTTCTCAGAGAAAAGGTTTGAGGGGTTTGGTTTAGTCTTTTTATTTTCAACCCACAGCAGATTAGCCAGGCTGGGAAAGCCCTGCCACTAATTCACTCAAAGATCTAGCAAAAACCCTTCCTAGTGCCCTGCCATTCCCACCGCCTGACCCGCAGCCCTTACCTATCAGCCCGTGGGCTGCAGGAGAGAACTGGTTTTCAGGGGGAATGTAGATTCCCAGGAAGTCAACATTAACCGGGTGATTCTTCCACACACGGTGCAGCAAAACCATGAAGGACATCTCCTCACCCACCGTGATAGTAACGTTATTTTCCTTCTTCACAGATACGAGAAGCCTAGCAGAGATGAACCAAAGGAAGGGCTCGGTTCAGCTGCCCACACATAAGCTCTCAGGCCCCTTGAGATGCTCTCGGGCATCCAGAACAACTGCATGGGGTTGGCAGCTATGACAGAGGATCCATATGTAACCCTCAGTCTTGGGAGTGGTACCCAGAGGTCTGGCAGGACAGTGCCTAACAGGACAGACACTTCATGCCCATGTTCAGGCAACCAGCTCTTGCCCTACATATTTAAGCTATTGCTACAATGAACGGAGATTTTGGAAGTGGCCCTATTGCCTAAACAGGTGTCTTGTGCTGTAGGGTGTCCAACATGGCTGCTGGCTGTTAATCTGCAGGTGAAGATCTCCTGGATATTGTGAGTCACATCTCCCATCATGTCAGGACCACTGAAGGTATCTCAAACAGGATTAGGTGCTTGTGTTTAGGCAACTGAATCGTGGTCTTAGCTAATGCAGTCAGCAGCAGGGAGAGGAAGCCAGCTCCTTCTACTTGTGTCTGGTCAGCTGACTCGCTCTCTTGGCCCTACTGCTAATTTCATTAACTGTAACGAGAGCTCAGACATCTAGCTAAGATTCACATGCCCATTGTAGGCACTTTGTGACCTGGATCCCACCCATAGCTGGGGCAGTCCAATGCTGTGTTGCAGGTGGTTTCCATTGGGCAGACAACAAATGCTCAGCAACTTACTGTTTCCGAATTATGTGCCCCGTGTCAGACCAGGTCAGCGTGATGCCGTAAGATCCATCTTTCAGCGTTATTGTTTCTGTGGTAATCTCCACTTTCAGGCCTTTGTTTTTGAAATAAAAACCGATTTTGCCAAAGTATGTGTTGAGTTTCTTATTCTCTGTTTTTTTTGCCCCAACGAGCTGCCCATTGACCACAACTCCTGTGAAGAGCAAAGAAGCAGATGTCACCTAAATCTTGGAGCACCACCTAAAGACTTGGAGTTCTGATCTCAGCAGGGACTACCATGGGATCAGCAGAAACAGGAACCCCTCTGAGTCCCTGTTTTTCTCATCTTGCCAGCCAAGAGAAGCGAATAATTTATTAAATCACCTCCTGATGCTACTGTTCACCCCTTAGCATATTAACCTGGTGGGAATTGATGTTAGGTCTTGCTGGTAGTATGAGCTGATTCATAAGCCATTTGCTCTCTTGCTGTCTGTGAAAAGCATGAGGCGGATGGGCAGTGGAGGAATGGTACCACATTTCCAGCCCAAGCTTAACTTGCCTCCAGATGCTCATCACTTTTCACATATATTTCAGAATTTAAAGAAATGCTGATAGGTAAAAGCCTCTGAGAAGAGGCTGATTCCCTTTGATTTCTTTGGAAGTACAGTTACACATTTTTTCTGCCTGCTACCAGGGATGCCTCCAGTTTTATTTCTCTTTGTATTTATCTTCCACTTTCTTCTTTAGAAGTACAAAGGAGAGAAGGGAATCCTCACCCATCATGGAGATTTCCTCACCTATCTTGGCTCCTTTCCCAGTGCTTGGCCATCCTCACAGTGAAAAGGTTTGTCTTAATAGCTCACTCCTGCCCTGAATTTCACTTGTTGCAATTTGTTTCTGTTGCCTCTTGTCCTTTAGATATGTGTCTTGGAGATGTGTCAGGCTCCATCTTTACCTTCTGATTAGATGGTTGTAGACAGCAACAAGATTCACTACCATGGGTCTTCTTTTCTTAAGATTGACTGAACCCAGCTGTCTCAGCCTCTCCCTGTGTGTCCTGCGCTCCAGTCCCTTAATCATCTTGATGGCCACCACTGAATTTCATCCAATTTGTCAACATCTTTCCTGTACTGGCAAGACTCAAAGTGAACACAATACTCCAGATGTGGAGGGACTTCCCTCAACCTGCTGGCCACACTCCTGTTACGCAGAGTTCTTCCTGTAGGCATTTCCCCTGCTCCCTCTGAACACTTTTCAGAACTGAGAGAAGAAAAGTGTGCTATAAAGTAAACCGTGCTTTATTCCCTTACCAGTACCAGGATCAGAAACCAAGTTTAGGATCTTTCCAGGCTCAGAGTCGATATTGAAGCAGATGTTCCTTTGGCTCTTGGGCAGGTGTATGGTGAAATGTGGGTCATTGTCAACTGGAACATAGAAAAGAAACAAGCGTGAGAAGCAGGCCAGTACCTGCCCTAGAGGTAAGGGGCACAAAGACTGAGACACTTTCCTCAGCGGATTTTGAAGCACTTTTTGTGACTCCTCAGAGTAGGACAAGGGCCCTTTCCATCTCTGCAGTAGCTAAGGCAGTTCTTAGATGCTCCTTACAAAACCCCCTTAGACATTTTCTCCTCATATACTTCCCCTGTTTAAGGAAAGAACATGACATTATTGGCTTGAGGAGCACTGCCAAGTGCAGTGAACTACTGGTTTAACTGGTCAGCTGCATACTAGGGTACCATAGGCTCAACCTGGAGTTCTAGAAGCCAAACTTCATTTATTTATGATGGAAGCCAGCATCCAGGTGAGACCAAGGACCCATCTGGACACCAGACAGACAAGGACATATCTTTGAGGCCTAGAGCGGAGAAAGGACCTAAGGCGTGCAAAGCAGGTCGTGGGTGGCACCTCTGTTTAAAACTAAGATCCACCACCCACCATGCCCAGCTGTTACCTGTTTCTAGAAATGATACACTCCCGGGACATCACCCTCTCAAACCAAGAAGCTCTCAGACATGTTACAAGTCCATACCACTGTAATGATGTTGGGTAAAGACACATCCTGCCTACCAACTCCCCTGAGGAATACAGTCTAGGACTTGTTCTCACAGTATGTTTAACACCCTGATGGGATTCGGCCCCTCTGAAAGTTATATATTCTTTAAAATTTGCCTCAAATGAGACAAACACCTGCACCTATCATTGAAGGACTGCCTCTAGTCTTGAAGTGCAAAGCACTGCCCAGGTCTTGCTGGTTTGGTGATGGTTGGCATCTCCCTGTCAACATTGAGAGACATGCCCGTACTCAGTGTTGCCTATGGGGATAGCCAGAATGGCTTCCATTCATTCACTGGTGTTCCTCAACTTTTGGAAGTATTGAACTCTTCCTGTGCATTAGACAAACTCTAAACCCTTGACCAGGAATGTCTTCACAGGAAATGGTGGGGTAGGTAACCTCCAAGGGGTGAAGGAGCTTTTGAATGTCTTGGAGCTTTTGAATATATTGAGTCTCTTGAATATAGCCCTCGATCATTTTTCTTTATTCTCACCAACTGCTTGATCTTCCTCAACTTGATTCCAAGGCCTATTCTGATCAATATTTCCAGGAACAAAAAGAACTTCCAGTGCAAACTACATGTATAAGTTGGACAGGTAACTTTGCCTTGTTCATTTTCTTTTCCAAGCAGTTTCTTGACTATCCAAAGTCATAAATTATCCCTTGAGCTATGGGTTAAGGAGTTTGATAGCTCTTTGTTTGATAGCTATGTAAATACATGCATCCACACACAGGCACACTCTGGAGTTATTGTAGTTACACTGCTTTTACAGGCAATGGTTCACACAGCTGGTTTGTGTAACTAGGCACTAAACTGTGGCAAAGGTCCAAGTATTAACAGGATTCATCAGTCATCACTGCATTCAAAGATTTTTATCTACCACAGAGCGTTCATCTGTCACTTACAATGGCAGTAACTTTACATTAGCTTTGCTACTGCAGGGAAGCTGAACGTAAGCCCAGTGAGCAGCCTTAGACTCAGGGAAGCACAGCGCAGAAGACAGGGTTGCTGGGATCCTATTAGGATCTAAACTAGTCTCACGCTTGTAACTTAGAGCATATTTTTACAGGTTCATCTATTCAAAGTCAATATGACTCAGTATTTTATAAAGAAAAGCTTAAACCTTGGACACTAGATGGATTTGCAAAAATTTGACTGAGGTGGGTGTGCCTTGGGACGCAGAATCACAGCATCACAGAATCATTAAGCTTGGAAAAGACCTTCAAGATCATCAAGTCCAACCGTTAACTCAACACTACCAAGCCCACTAAACCATGTCCCGAAGTGCCACGTCCACATGATTGTGCCCTGCTCAGAGCTTCAGCAGGGACTGTATCGAGGACGTTTCACACTGATGTTTTCTGCAACAGTAATGAAGTAGCTTCACCAGCTAGTCACAGCAGTTGATTTATTCTCTTGTGGACTAGCCCCTAAATGAACATACAGCTTTTACAGCAATTCAGAAAACTCAACAAGAAAAATTAGGACAACTGATAGGTTCCTCCATGATTATAGAGCTTAGCATCTTATTCTCAAAGTGCCCAATAACTTTGGTTATATCGCTTTTATTTCTTTATTGGGTAATGAGTGTTGCTGCCTGCTGTTTCTTTGCAGAGAAATACTGTAGATTTTACCTCTGTTTATGCTCAGAGAGGACACAGGAGGACTCCTTTGCTCAGGCATGAAGCTGACTGGTACAGCTGTGACATTGGCCCAGGCTGGGATACCTTTGTTATTATTAGGTGCATTTGGAGTTAATCCTAGAGTACCTGTTAAATGACAGTCGCAATCAGGTTTTTGTTAGTGCTGACATTTTTAATAGTGTAATTTTTAAAGTAATGCAGTAGATCAGAGCCTGATGTCGTTATACCAATGTAAAGCACGTGCAATACTCACAGAATCACAGAATCACAGAATCA